CTTTTTGGCTTCAGACTAAAGTCATAGTACCATTAAGTGGCATTTCGTCAATAATACGCTGATTAAGTGTTGCCTTGTTGACTAAATATTGAAATGCAGTGTTTATAGACACAATGGGTAACTAGGGAAGCTAAAGTCAGTTTTAAAGTCGACGGCTTTGGGTGGTCTTAAATTAAAACTGACTACAGTATTGTAGATATGGCTGGAAATGCATATGGAGTAGATAGGTCTGAGCATAGGGCTTGCAGTGAAACTGGTTGTATGAGTATGACGGATAGCCGAAGTGAGATAAGTACCTTGTTGGTCGAGTAGCAGGGATCTTTAATCGAGTGGTTAGAAATCGCCTCTTTTGAGGTCGCTGGTTCAATTCCCATCAAACCCGACTTGTTTTACAATTAAACATACGACAGTTATCGTGAAATCTACAAATATCTCATTTTTGAACAGCCCCAAAAGTCTATAGACATTGACCAAACAACTGAGCATGTTATCAAATTCAACCTTACATCCAACAAGCAAATTTTAAAAAGAATAATTTTTCGTCTACAAATTTTCAGAAACGACAAAAAAAAGTTGCATGCATGTTTATGATTAGATTGAAATGAATGTTCTCCATTTCACATAATGAGCTTATGGCTCTTGCATGCAACATTGTAATAAGTAAAGTGAAGATAAGTAAAAAAGAAGAATATCAAAGAACTTGTCACGTATAACGTGAAGGACATTGAAGACGATACAAAAGAAACTGTCAAAACCAGCACAGTGACTTCTGAGAAGGAAATCGATGATCTGAGGAAAGAGTTGAAAGTTACTGATGCATATATTCCGGTTTCTAAAAAGTACAATGATGATTTCTGGAATAATAAGAGAAAGCCTGTAATTAAACAAAAGAGAAGAAGAGAAAATGAAGAATTTGAAGGTGATAACGATGCAAAACGTCTTTCCACTAACGAACAGTCTCAATGAAATAAGGACTCACCAGCTCAGTTATCAAAAATAGTTCATTGCCGTGAAAGTAAAAAAATAATTAATTTTAATAGTTGCGACATAAGCCAAATAAAAAAGGAAATTTTAAATCCCAATAATGATCCACATTTTTCACTTTTGTTTTGGAATGTAAGATCCTTAAAATCATTAAATAAATTTACAAATTTTAAATCGCAACTGACTGAACTGGTGAGTGACAAAAATAAGATTATTGATTGCATTGTTGTAGCTGAATCTTGGGTTAATGCACTTGATGAATTTAAATTATATGAGTTGAAGAACTTCAATAGTTTTATGGTATCACGTAATACATCTCAAGGAGGAGGAATCATTGTCTACATACGTAAATGGTTTGCTGCAAATGTCATCGCTAGGACTTGTAACCAGCATATTGAAGCAATTCTTGTCGAAGTTCTATCTCTGAATCTAAGACAAAAAATTCTTGCTGTGTATAGACCTCCATCTGGAAATTTGTCAGTGTTTTATGAATTTATTGATGATTTTTTGAGCGATAACAGTGAGTTGCTGATTGTGGGTGACATGAACATCAACATTTTGAATGAAAATGCATGCAATGAATATCGAGACATATTGGCGATGAATGACTATATTGTAGCAAATAACTTTGTGACGAGACCTGCTTCTGGCTCACTTTTGGATCATGTTATGTTGAAAGAGAATACAGATGCTCTAATTTTTACATCTAAAAATTACAAACTCTCTGATCATAATTTTATCGTGCTTATTAAAAAGATTACTCACCAATCGAATTGGATGCATACAGAAATCACAAAAGTAAACTTCGCACAAATAAGGGATGAATTAACTAAGACGGATCTTATGAATGTCATCAACAATTGTCCAAATGTCGATACAGCCTTCTCTAAACTAATTGTATTGATTAAGTCGCTGACTGATAATGCTAGAGTGACCTACAAAATAAGACATAAATATGAGAATGAAGTTCCTCCATATGTTGACAGAAAATATGTGAGATTAACTAATAGCATAAATAATTTACATGACAAATTACGCAAAAGGAGGAATAGGAACCAAGCAGTAAGCCTTTTAGAGGCCAAAATGTTAAATCTTGAAGAAATATTAATTAAACATACTGAGATGAAGGCAAAAATCTACTACTCTAACATCATAGCAAATAACAGATCATTTTCATGGAATATTATTAATGAAATAACTGGTCGCTCAAAGAAAGATGAAAATTTAGTAATTCAGCACAATGGAAACGTGATATTCGACAAGAATGAAATTGCTAATGTCTTTCAAATAAGGTTCAACACGATAATTAATAACACATCTACTATAATTGAAATGGATTACCTAGGTGAACCACTTGTAAACAGCATCGTAATGAGTCGAGTTACAGAAAACGACATATTTGAGCTAATGAATGACTTATCACTAAAGAAAGCAGTTGGTAGTGATGGACTTCCTGTCAAAGTTTGGAAAGAAAATATTGACATTCTAGCTCCGATTCTGACTATTCTAATCAATGAAATGCTTGATAGTGGAATCTATCCAGATGTACTAAAAATTGCTGCTATTAAACCAATACATAAGAATGGAAATAAAATGCAGGTTGAGAATTACAGAGGAATATCGTTGCTTCCTACTATCAATAAGGTCTTTGAACGAGTAATCTACGATAAAATTGAACAATTCGTTACTCGATTTAAGCAGTTTGATGAGCTCCAATTTGGATACAGAAAACACTATGGTACGCAAGATGCATTATGTAAACTTTATAGCACAATCTCTAAGGCACTGGATAAGAAAAAATATGTTGTTGCTGTGTTTTTCGACATATCAAAAGCCTTTGACAGCATAGATCACAAAGTGCTGCTCTTTAAGCTAGAGAAAATGGGTATACGAGGAAAGGCACTTGATTTAATAAGAAGTTATCTTACCAACAGACAGCAGTTTGTAAAAATTGGAGATGTGTTAAGTGAAATCGCGGAAATTTTGTTTGGAGTTCCTCAAGGCAGCTGTTTAGGCCCACTGTTGTTTGTGTTAATGCTCTATGATCTAAAATTCATTGAAACCAAATCCTCAATAATCAAGTACGCCGACGATATTGTTCTTATATTGGTCTGTGATCAACTTGATGAAATTCCAACAGCTATAAAGAAAGACATTGATAAGATTAGACACTATTATGCAAGTAATGGACTCAAACTAAACGCAAATAAATCCAAGTACATGACATTCGGATTTACAGGCTACAAACATCTTGATGAATATATGAATGGCAATGGGATCGAAAAAGTTGAGTCAGTTAAATACTTAGGAGTAATTGTGGATAGCAACTTAAGGATGAATGGACACACAAATCATCTTGTCAAAAAAATTTCTCAATCAATGAATGCAATGAACACTATTAAAAAGTACTTACCAACTTACTCGCTAATGCAGTTTTATAACGCGTTTATCGGCTCGCACTTATTTTGTAACGGCTTTTTGATGTGTCGAATGAATGTTACGGATATTAACAGGCTGCAGATTATCCAGAATAAAGCTCTGAAAACAGCATTTGGACTAGAGCGAAGATATCCAACTGAAAAATTGTACAATGAAATAGCCGTTAATATTTTACCAGTTAAAGGAATTGCTTACCTGAACTTGCTTCTGCTAATTAAGAAGTATATCCTAACGAACTCTGAAGATTTTGAAGTCATTAATGATGGACGTAGAAAAAATCAGTTAAAATTTATCAGATTCCGGAATATGCTTGCTGATGATCTTGTTTGCCTTGGTCCTAGAGTGTACAATCAACTGCCACTGGAAATAAGAGAGATAAAAAGTTATAACTCATTCAAACGTAAACTTAAAGTTTTTCTCTTAGAAAATAAATTAATATTCCTGAGGGGTAACCAACTAGACGTAAACAACTTATTCAGATCAGCATAATCCATAAGATGCAAAAAAGATGTGAAAATTCAAATTTATATTACAACGTTTAAATTTTGTTAGTCTAATATTCTAGTTTAAATGCTTCTTACAGATCCATATTTGTACTATTACATTGTTACTTACCTCACTGTGCGTGTACGCACTTTATTCAAACTCATCAACACTATTTTAATGTAACACTTTTATTGTATCTATTTTTTTTTGTTTACACAAAAGTTTCCGTTAAAAACAATGTTAAAATTTTTCTTATAATTTTCTTAACTGCCCGAGAGGGTCAAATAAACTCAATCAATCAATCAATCTATCTCTTCTTTCTCGCTTGTCGTCAGTTCCTCTACGTTTAAGGTGATGAAAAATACTTGAAGAAAATGTAAAGTGTAAGTGCATGTTCAGTTAGTTGACACTTGTGTGGTGTTGGTTGTAAAAAAAAAAATTCTGCCATAAAAAAGCTGATGATGATGATAAAGATGAAAATGAAATTTAAGATGCTGTACTAACAACATTAATGTGATGATGATGTTCGAAAGGAAATATTGCATCATGAAGCTTCTTAAATTTATAATAAAAATTCCATCGGAGAATGTAAAAAAAAAATTCTTCGTTTTCATTTTTTATATTCAATTTGTAAAATTGAAGAGAATAAGAAAATTGATGGAAAATTTTGATGATGAAAAATTTGCTTCGATGAAATGAAATTGAATCAATATCAGTCAAATGAAGCACAGCAAGAAAGCTTATTTGGAATATTTTAATAAGATTGAGTGATATTGATAGTTTTAGATTTTTGGAAAATTACGTAGATATTGGTCAGTTCTGAATTGAGAAGATTTGATTGGAATTAGCCGTAATTCATAAATTTGGCACCAATTCTTAGTACAATTGATCATAAACTTGACGAATCTCATTTGAGAGTTTATGAATATTATGATTGTTACCTTTTAAGAATCAATAAGGTTTTAGTTGACTACCAAGAAATGTTAAAAATATTGAAAAAGTTTATCAAAATTTGTTTAAGATTTTGCAAATTTTTAGGTATAAAAGGATTTCAAAGTTCAATCTTAACTTATAACACTCAAAACAGTTCTACAGTCAGCAACTTAAATCATAAAAGCATCAAGAATTTCAATTCTCTAATTTGAAAGCATTAAGAATCTTCAAACTATTAAATTGTCAACAAAAATGGACAGAATCGAGAACAACTTTGAAGCATCATCATCAAAACCAACTGAAGATCAATTAGCAAAAGAAATTGAGCTCATTAAGTGCATGAACGAAGCCTTAATTCAACAAAATGTAAAATTAATAAGAACAGAAACTAACTTGAGAGTAAAGTTGGAACAAGCACAACTCAAAAACGTAAAATTCATCCAAAAACTTGACAAAGGAATCCTCAGTGATGTAATGGGAATGATTCAAGACGAAAACACTAAAGACTTCAGCATCATTATCAATGACAACGAATTTCCAGTTCACAAGTTCCTCCTTGAAGCTAGAAGTTCAACATTTGCCTCAGTTTTAAGGAACAACCCAGACGCTCATAATTTGGTTTTAACTGACATCGATGAAGAAGTCTTTGAGAAGATCTTAATCTTTCTTTATACCGACGATCTACCAAGAGATTATGAGGAAGACTACTTGAAACTCTTTACTGCAGCTGGAATTTTGAAGATTGAAGACTTAAAAAGCTTCGCTGGTGTTAAAGCATGCAACTTAGTCAAAAAAGAAAACGTCATTGAAGTTCTAATCTTGAGCACCAAATATGAACATGATGTATTGAAGAATTGTGCATTTGATGAAATTAAGAAATTCTATCCAAACATCAAGTTTGACAACAAATGGATCAACGACACTCACAAAATCTTAGAAGCTATCGAAAAGAAGAAAGTTTCTAGAATTCCAGTACGTGTAAGCTACTGTTAAGGAATCAGAATTAGGGTTTGACAAAAAAAGTGTAGATTTTGCTGAATAAAATAAAGAGTTTAAAATTAAATTTTTGTGTTTTTTAAGTAGCTATTCATTTCAGAATTCAAGTATTGGTCAATATGAAAGTCTTAGTGCCATTCGGATTAACATTGAGATGGATTATTGGATCAAAAGGACATGTTTTAATTGCACTTAGTACAACCTATATGACAAACATAGCATCAAACCTCCATAGCATTATAGGATATTCTGCAAACATGTGTATGGAATTCATGTGTATCCTAATGTAAAACAAGGGATTGGAATCGAACCCACGACCTCAAAAGAGGCGATCTCTGAATGCTCACTCAGAGATCCCTGCCACTTGGCAACGGAGGTACTTGTCTCACTTCGGCTATTCATCATACACATATAACCAGTTCAACGCGAACCCGATGCTCAGACCAATCTACTACAGATATGCTCTTCGAGCCATATCCACAAATCCCATAAGCTAAGACCCAGTCACAAATACAACAATCTACTTTAATATTAAGATTAAGCATAAAAAATCAGTTAAACTCTTTAAAAAAATCTCAAGAATCATTAAAAAAGATTTTTATGAGCTTCTTTCAAACGACATTAATCCACATGTGAATTCTCTATGTCTCTTTTTTTATAGTTAATAAAATATGTTGACAAATTTTCCCAAAAATAGACTTAACCCATCCCAACATCATTGTCTACATGTTGACATTCTTTTTTATATTTAAAGAACAGCTTACTGAAAGGCATCATGAAGGCACAGAAAAAAGCCTTTCGGGTCTCGTAAATAAGAACATTTTCATGTTTGATGAAAAAAGCAAAGATTCAGAAACATCAAACTTGCCATAAGTCAATTTATATTCATTTGTTCCTCAATAATCGAGATGAAAAATTGTTCGAAATGATTTCTTATAATAAATGTATCAGTCATCCCTTTAATAATAAACCAACTTCAGTTGCAAACTAGATCTCAACGTGAACAGACGTGTTTACAAATCGCTCTGCAAATTATTCAAAAATCTCAAAAGAAACAAAACAGAGACTACCTGAGAAGCTTTTTGTTTGCAAAAAGTTTCAAAATCTCAGTTTGATTCTCAAAACATCAAAATGGTAGCATCACCAAAAACTACCAACAACGAAGAAAATTTTTCTCAAAATCAGCATGGACTTAATAGTTCTCAACAACAACATTCATCTTCAGTGACAATTCTCAATATTGAGGAAATTTTCAGTGCAGATGTTTCACAAGCAGCCGACATTGAGATGACAAATCTCAAACCAAAAAAACAAATATCAATAAAGAAGTTTCTCAATGAAGCAAGTAAAGCAGAAAAACGCCCTCGAGAAGTGATAGTTCCCAACGCTCTTTTAAAAAGAGTAGCAAACGAAAGCAAACCAAAAGATGGGAACAAACCACTGTTCGTACTCCCACCAGTGAAGAAAGCTTCGTCTTCTGGAGTACCGTATCTATTTGGTTCACCAGAACAGGAGAAAAAAAGATCGACAACTTCTTCGTACTGGGGAGAAAACAGCAAAACATCAGAGCAACAAAAGACAATTTCCGTAAACACGGAAAGCAACAACAACAAATCTCAACAAAAATCAAAACCACCTCCAATTGTCATCAGCACAGGAGGAGCTGGTGAAATCAAGAGATTGACGAATGAAATAAACAATCAACCTGGAAGTTTCTTAATTGAGACCAAAAAGGGCAAACAAGGAACAAAAACGGTAACAACGGAGAGTTGGGATTACTACGAGAAATTCATCCAACTACTCAAAGACAAAAAGCATCACTTCCACACATACTCCAGCCAAGAACCACTGAAGAAGTACGTACTCTATGGACTCCCAGATATGGAAATCAGTGAGTTGGAGAAGGAACTTCAAACCGTAAAAATCACACCAGTAAAAATTGTCAAAATGACAATGAAACACAAAAGACACGAACAAGACGACGACCAGAACTACCTCGTGTACTTCAAAAAAGATGTAGAACAAGGTGGAAATTTCCTGGAATTCCTCAGAAAAATCAAAATTGTCAGCAGTTTCAAAATTAAATGGGCTGACTACAAAAATAGACAAGCTGGACCATCTCAATGTTCGAAATGTCTGCAGTTTGGTCATGGACAAAACGGTTGTAACAAACCGTCCGTTTGCTTCAGATGCTCTGAGCAACATGACTCGAAAACGTGCCAGTACATATCGAAAGAGACCAACAAGGTTCCACTCGGAAAACTCAAATGTTTCTTCTGCGGTGAAAAACATACAGCAATTTTCACAGGTTGTAAAACCAGACAAGAAATAATTGAAAAATGGAAATCAAAATCACAGAATGGAAACAACCAAAATCAAAACAAAACAGCAGGCCATTATTCATATGGACAACGGAGAAACAATCCTCCAACACCGCATCGTCCTGAGAGATCAACCAGAAACGTCCAACATGCACCAAAACCTCAATGGAGAAAGGAGTATATGGAACCATCAACATCTGGTACACAAAAGCCTGTTCATCAAAAACAAGTTCCAGTCAACCACAAACCAAGGAACACAAATCCTCCTCCAAATCACAAACCCTCAAATCAGGGAAATAAAAATAACTTGAACAACCAACAAAACAATAAAGAAAGAGGAAAACATTGGAAAAAGAATCAAAGAAAAAAGCAAAACGAGCGCATTAATAACAATCAACATCAAAAACCAAAGCAAGATGTTGAGCTTATGGACTCAGAAGACATCAGTGCAACAAGTCAGACCTCGAATGAAGTCTTCCCAGAACCTTCATTCAGTGTTGAGGTAGTGAATCGAAACATAACAACTAATCAACAAGCTCAAAGCACCAGCACAAGAGATAAAAACATCTCAGAAATAGAGGAATCAAAGTGCAAGTACCTTATCAGCGAGCTTCTCAAATTAATCGCCAAAAATCCAGAGTTCATCGACGAAATACTCCAAGCAATCGGCTCAAGTGCCAAAAACACCGCATACAATAATGGATTGTAGACAACAAAGTATCAACGTCCTCTACTGGAATGCTAACGGCCTCACTGACAAAATGTTAGCATTTCTCGACTACCTAAGCAAGCAAAACGTCGATGTTGCTTGCATCTCAGAAACATTCCTAAAACCAAACTCAAAAATTGACTCGCATCCAGACTACGTAATTCATCGATTGGATCGCGTGGATAGACCAAAGGGTGGTGTTGCAATCATCGTCAAAAGAAATCTAAAACATCAGCTTCAACCAAGCTACAACACAAAACTAATGGAATGCATTGGAATCAAAGTCTTCATCAATGACACGGATAGTTGTCACATCCTCTCAGTCTATCTCCCAGGAGGAAGCAAAGGAGGGGAAATAGATCTACATCTGAGAGATGACATCAACAAAATAACAAATCTGAGAGGAAATTACTACATCTGTGGAGACTTCAATGCAAAACATCGAGAATGGAACTGCAACGTTGCAAATAAATCAGGAAATATTCTTCAGGAAATGTCAGGAGAGTTCATGATCTACTTTCCTGACTCGCCAACGTACTACCCAGAAGATCGAAACAAATCAGTGTCAACAATTGACCTGATGCTCTCGAATTCCAACCTCGAAACAACAGAACTTCAATGCACAGAGGCAATGAGTGATCACTGCGCTGTGTATTTCCAAATCAAAACATCAAAAATCGACAGAACTGAAAATACAGTCTACAGATATGACTACAAAAACGCAAACTGGAAAAAGTTCAAAGCACAAATTTCACGCCGCATTGAAGACAACATTGGAGAAAATTCTTGCAATACAACAGATGAGATCGAGAATCACATTAAGATTCTCTCTGAACTCATCATGGAAGCGAGGAACTCAAGTGTAAAAATGAAAAAGATCAAGTTCGAATCAACTAAACTCACACCGGAGATTAAAGATCTAATCAACACGAAAAGGAGTCTTCGTCGAAGATGGCAGAGAAGCAGAGATAATCAACTCAAATCTGAATTGAATAATCTGCAGAGAGTCATCAATGAGAAAATTAAAGAACTCAAAAACAAAAACTGGAATAAGCGTCTCTCAGAGATTCAACCGTCAAACCAAACAGTTTGGAGAATAGCAAAATTTTGCAAAAAAGGTTCAAAAACAATGCCTCCATTGACAAATCTGGGTAAAACGTTCATCACCAACAAAGAAAAAGCCAGCGCACTCAGCGAGTATTTTCGTGAAGCTCACGAAAATCCTCTGGAACAAAACGATCCACAACATACACAGGAAGTAAACAACACAGTCAAAGAAGCATTGGAACAAGACAATGATGAGAATCCAGAACTAACAGATGTAAACGAAATCGTGAGCATCATAAGAAATCTGAAAAATCCAAAAGCTCCGGGACTAGATGAAGTCAACAACATACTCATCAAAAATCTTCCTGAAAAAGGTTTCGAATACTTGAAATTCATCATCAATTCGTGTCTGAAACTCAACCACTTCCCCAAAGTTTGGAAACATGCAAAAGTGATTCCTATTCCAAAACCTGGAAAACCAGCAAATGAGCTAAGCAGCTACAGGCCAATAAGTCTACTCAGCTCAATAAGCAAAATACTGGAGAGAGTATTACTGAATAGAATCAACGATCATCTTGAGGATAACAACATCATCCCAAACCAGCAGTGCGGCTTCCGGACTGGAAGATCAACATCTCACCAGCTCATCAAAGTGATCAAATCAGCAAAAGAAAACTTAAACAACAAAAAGTCAACAGGCATGATCTTCCTGGATGTAGAAAAAGCATTTGACAGAGTCTGGCATAACGGACTCTTGTACAAAATGCTCAAACTGAGATTTCCACTGCCACTTATAAAAACTGTAAGATCTTTCCTCAGTGAAAGATCTTTCGCAGTTTTTATTAAAGGTCAGTTCTCAGAAATCAAGGTAATCAAATTCGGAGTGCCACAAGGAGCAGTGCTTTCACCAACTCTCTACAACATCTTCACGTATGATGTTGTAAGAGAGACAACCAACAACATCGGTCTTTTCGCAGATGATACAGCACTGTATCATTCTGCAGAGAACTCG